CAGTGGATATGTAATGAGAGAAAAGCTAAAAGACATATCTAGCACTAAATCAGACACCCTGATGGAAAGGTCTGGATATTTGCAAGGCCATGGGATCAAGGAAAAGGGAGTTCCAGCAGGTCCACCACTGGACACACTCCCACGCTTGTGGACCATCACGAGATAGAAAAGAAACATATAGAGTAATGGTCGGGATATGCATGATAAGAGCTCAGACAGCCTCTCCTCAAAAGCCTTCATAGTGTTGACCTTGGTTGTGCACATGATAAGTGAATATCCAACACCATCCACTCTGTGCACACTCAACTTTGCCTGCACACTCGCTCAAGCTGGCACAGTCTTACAATGAGCAACAAAATCAACCAGTCAGAAAATTCCGGGAGGTAAATTCTGATTGGCTGTTCCATCTCCAGTCCCAATGCTTTCATAAGAAAACGAATCCACCGGACACAATAGAATAAAATCATGCAAACATTTCTGTCAATGATACAAAATGATGACTGAAAATGTGTTTTAATCCAGTTGTAGTTGAACAAATCTACTTGGTCATCATTTTTTCATAATGCCTCCGGGATGCTGTAGAAATACTAGTGATTTAATTGGAGACAAACATTTATGTGTAAAACTGATGTTTTCTCAAAAACATCGTACTTTCACGATGTGGAATCTAAAATACTGGCATCTTGAGCCTGTGGTACCCATGAGTCTTTGCTATTGCTGTAGAACCAACCAGAAGTGTGAATCAGAGTTGTAGCAAATAAGACTTTCAGTTAAGAACAAAACCCTACGCCAAAGTTTCAGAATTTGTCTAAAATTGATTTATACTCAGTTTCTACAAAGTGTAATCTCTAACCCCCACCCTCCATTGCACAGGAAGCAAAATTTAGTTACTTGGAAGTGGTACTTCTTTTCTACAGCTGGTCTCACACAATGTAGCATCAACCTTTTACCAATTACCGTATTTTTTTCTAAACATGGTTTTTCTTTTTTTCAACTGATTATTCACCAAGAAAAGTTTTATGCCCTTCCGAACCCTAGAAGTCTTCTAAGAGTAAACCACGTAACATTGTAAACTTTACTTATACACCCCTGGATGATTATTAGCATCCAGAAACAACATATTCCACAAGTCTTAGCCAACTTGACTTAAACAGCACACCACTGCTGTGATGTTAAACCCCAGTTAAAATGGTTGTTAAAGGATAACAAAATAATCATTTTACCTTTTATAAAATTACTAGTTGCTCAAAATTCTACTGTCCTATACAGAAGTAGATACCTATTGATCAATATATGGAGACATAGAGAGTAAATCCTGCACACATGAGTAACACAGTCTCTTCCTAGCTTTAAAGGGAAGTTGATATAAATGGTAAATTCTGTGCAAAAGAAAAAGAGATTGATTGCTGGTTATATGCTGTGTGTGTTCTTCGTATTGTGGTGGTCTTGCATGAGCATACCTTCCCTGACCTTTGACCTGGTGATGTTTATGCTCAGGCATGCAGCCCAGACTCCCCTTCCAGCACCATCTCCTCCCTCCTCCCTTCCGCCCTGCTGGACTGGAGGGTCTGTATTGTTTTTCTCCAAGGCGTTTACTACAGGCACTGCTTCCCCTTCCCCTCCCCGTTCAACTCGTAGCAGCTCTTGAGAGTGTTGGTACATGTGGTTACAGTGTGCAATGTCCACATGTCTTCATGTCTTTGATCGTTATCTGTGAGGTGAATCCATCTGTGCTACAGAATCACAGTTATACAGAGAACTTTAATGTAAAGTCTTTACATGCCTTTCACATATTACACTCTTGTTATACATTCCAGCAGTGCGGCTGTATAGATGGCAACGTCAGTCTGTCGGACAGTCCACCACTTTGGACCAGACTGAAATATCTTCACATCTTCTTGACGAATCTGGCACAAGTTTTTGTCCACACATCCACAGTTTCCAGACAGTGTATCCTGATCATCCCCTGACTGGGGATCCCCTAGTCTGGCTCACAGGAAGTAGGCTGTGGGGATTTATCCTCTCCTTCCGCTTCCACCTTGACACTGTTTTGCGAGGGCAGCGTTGCTGCATCCTGGTTTAAGTGCTGCCCGCAACGATTGTGAAACAAGAGAAATACAAACAAGCCAGAGTTTTTTCCACTATATACCAGAGCGATAATGGGTTCGGACAAATTTTCCTCTAGCCCTATCTGTTCCCAGCCCATTACCACTATTTATTAATTTATTGAGTAACGGTCTCTTAATTGTTTTTTAATAATTCTAATTTATACTGTATTAACATGCTCAATTCACAAACAGTGGGTTTTTGTGTATCTGTTTTGGCTTGTCATTGAAGCAGCTGAATAGCTAACTTACAATTAACTGATATATTTTTACCTACACTTATATGCTTTAAATACCTTGGACTCACTCTGGACAACAAACTGAGCTTTGAACAACGCACCACAGACATTCACAAACACTGCAATCTGCAGACTCAAAGCACTTTCTGTTGCTGTTTTATAAAAGCATAATCCAACCCATTCTCCCTTACTGCCCCCCCTGTTTATTCAACATGTTAACTGCCTTCAATAGGAACAAACTCGTACACATAGCAAAGAGAGCCTCCAAAATGATTGGTCTCCCCGCCCCCAACCTCTCAGACCTCGGCAGCAAAGCTATCACACACAGAAAACACATCATAGCACACAACACCAGGCACCCCCTCAACCCATTGTTCACATTGCTCCCATCCGGGCACAGAAGTTTTGTCCCTTCTACCATAGCATTACTCAACAAAACCCGTCAGTAGCCAATATTTGTAAATATTATATATGTATGTACACCGATCAGGCAGATCAGGCATTCTGCAGCCCCATACCAACAAACTGCTCTGCACTGTGTGTTCTGACACCTTTCTATCAGAACCAGCATTAACTGTTTCAGCAGTTTGAGCTACAGTAGCTCGTCTGTTGGATCGGACCACACCTTTTCTCGGTCCAAAACAGCGCCACCAAATTCAGAAATTTATGTTACATTTCGACTTATATATAACCCACTTTCAATAAAGATTAATGTTTCCACGGGTGAAAATGT